CTGAAGCAGGCTGAGGCTGAGGCAGAGGCAAGCTGAGGCTGAGGCTGAGGCAGGCTGATGCTGAGGCAGGCTGAGGCTGAGGCTGAGGCTGATGCAGGCTGAGGCTGAGGCAGGCTGAAGCTGAGGCCGAGGCTGAAGGCAGACTGGCAGACTGAGGCTGAGGCTGAAGCAGGCTGAGGCTGAGGCTGAGGCAGGCTGAGGCTGAGGCTGAGGCAGGCTGATGCTGAGGCAGGCTGAGGCTGAGGCTGAGGCTGATGCAGCCTGAGGCTGAGGCAGGCTGAGGCTGAGGCCGAGGCTGAAGGCAGACTGAGGCTGAGGCTGAAGCAGGCTGAGGCTGAGGCTGAGGCAGGCTGAGGCTGAGGCAGGCTGAGGCTGAGGCTGAGGCTGAGGCAGGCTGAGGCTGAGGCTGATGCAGGCTGAGGCTGAGGCTGAGGCAGGCTGAGGCTGAGGCCGGCTGAGGCTGCTGAGGCCGAGGCAGGCTGAGGCTGAGGCCGAGGCAAGCCGAGGCAGGCTGAGGCTGAGGCTGAGGCTGATGCTGAGGCAGGCTGAGGCTGAGGCAGGCTGAGGCTGAGGCTGAGGCAGGCTGAGGCTGAGGCAGGCTCAGGCGAATCCTTCGGAATCCTTAGAATTCCTTAGGAATCGTTCGGAATCCCTAGGAATCAGGATTCCTAAGGATTCCTAAGGTTTCCTGAGCCTAGGAATCCTTAGGATTCCATTGGATCCTAAGGCCGTTGCCACTGCGACTGTCATTGCGAATGCGACTGCGACAGCGAGACCAGCAGAATTCTACAACTGGATTATCACCTGAATCTTAAGGGGAATGCTTCCAGATATGGTATACACATCGCTGTTAGGTTGCTTTGCTGGGATAATTTGACTATTGCTAAATATTCCCCCTGTAGAGGGACAGGCCCGACTTAAGACTAGTCCGAGTCGCCAGGCAAGAAAGACGGATGGACGAGGATGAGCTCGATGAGCTCGAGAAGGAGGCGGAGGAGGAGGAGGAGGAGGAGGAGAAGGAGGAGGAGCGACACGAGCCGACATGGGCTGCG